GTAGTTTACCAAATGACATAGAAATAACAGACATTTTAGAGGCTGCTGATCTTTCCCTGGGAAAGTGATCTTTTTGAAAAGGATGTACGCTACAACACTCAGCCCCAGAGTCATGACATCAAGTAAGACCTTCAGAGGCCCTTCCACCCATATGGTAGCCCCTTCACTCATTTCCTAAATTCATTCTAAATACACACATCAAACACCTCCTGGATGCCAGATATCACTAAGCATGGAAGATACAAAGACAAATAACACATGGTTCCTGTCTTCAAGAAAGGGGCAAACACGTAAACAGAAAACCATAGCCTGCTACAGGTGCTATGATAGAAGTCCATATAGGGTACAGAGGGCCAGAGAGAAAAGGGTACCCAATTCCATGGGGAGCAGACAATGAGAATTCGTCAGCAAAAGTTTTAAAGTTTAAGCTGAGGGGCTGGCCCCGTGGCCGAGTGGTTAAGTTCGCGCGCTCCGCTGCAGGCGGCCCAGTGTTTCGTTAGTTCGAATCCTGGGCGCGGACATGGCACTGCTCATCAGACCACGCTGAGGCGGCGTCCCACATGCCACAACTAGAAGAACCCACAACGAAGAATGCACAACTATGTACCGGGGGGCTTTGGGGATAAAAAAAAGGAAAAAATAAAATCTTTAAAAAAAAAAAAATAAATAAAAAAAAAATAAAGTTTAAGCTGAGTCTTAAAGGAAACCTCAAGATGGTTGGACGGACAATACGGGCAAGGATGGAAGGGACATTATGCACAAGGTCTAGAGGCCTGACAGGATGGCGCTTTAAGAAACTAGAATTAATTCCACGGGTCTGGCTCAAAGGTTGCATTTGTGGGTGTGGTATGGAATTAGGCTGGACAGGTAACAGGATGGACCTCGATTATCTCAACTAGGAGTTAGGCTTTTTTTCTGTAGGCAATGGAAGAAACCGCTGAAAGATTTTAAGCAATGGAAGAGAATGTTCAGATTTGTGATTTAGAAAGATGGCACTGATAGCTGCATGAAGAATGAAAGCAGTGGCTGAGAATGAAATTATTGGCTGGTTAGAGGCCTACAGTCCAAGACAGAGATGAAGACAGCCAGA